TAGAGAAATCCCAATGCCTGTGCAGGTTCACAAGCGCATCACATGGGAGCTCTAAACAGACTTTCAGCCTGAAGGAGCGTCTGTCTCTTAAGAGCTGACAATGGATTCACCTGGAATAATCCAGAAGCAAGACCAAGACCTGCAGGCACACCCAACCAAATGCTTCTGAGGAAATACTATCTACTCTTGCATTTAACCCTCCCATCACACTGTCCACAAACAAATAAAGCTCCAATCAAAATACAGGATGTGCCTGGGCAATACAGGAAAGGCTTGGGAGGAAAAAAAAAAAAAAAAAAAAAAGTTGCTCTGATCTGTATTTTAAGTGCTTCCTCTAGCTCCAATTAGAAAATTACCAGAGAGCAGGAGGGGAAGTATACAGTTAGCCTTAGGTAAAACCTTGTCTTCCTGTAAAATTTAAGAGATGGTGCAAAAGAGAGGAGAAATTCAATTTTCCCTACTACCACCACCTGCCCAACAATTTCTAGACGTCTCAGATCTGTTTTAGCTGATGATAGGCTACTAAAAATTTCTAGGGAAGAAGCAGGAGAAACAGTGAAGAGAATGTGCTTCCTAACTTCCTAAAAAGCAACCCCGTTGGGCTCTCCTCTGGAACTTAGAAGGCCACCCCATGGCAAGAACTGTTTCAAGGCCATCTGCCTGCCCACTACAATGCTCACACCTGAGACTTCTCTCCTGTAATTCTCCAGCCCTGCATTTACATCCCCTCCTACTCTCTCATACTATAAGCTATTGGGTTATGCTTCTCTCCATTTCAAAGCCACTGACCCTCAAGAAAGTACCTTGTAATTAAACAGGAGGTAATTTCTCAAGTGCATGCCTGAAGGCCCTGTACAATCCATCCACCACAGACCTTCATCCCAAACAGTGCTCCAGCATTCTGGGTTTCTGCAGTCAAACGGCCACTCCCCATCTCCCAAAAATACCCCAACTTTTCCTTTGAAATTCTACCAGATCTGTTCTAACTAGAGCAAGAACATATTCTTGTGTGAGCTGTATCTTACAGAAGGGCATCTAGCCAAAGGGACAAAGACAGAACAGGAGCTGAAATTCAGCCTCTATCCTATGTGCCAAACACACACACTGACTGACCTAAGGCTTCCTAGGGAAGAGACATCCTTTTCTAATTGGCACTAAGGTACCACAGATACTACCCCTAAAAGCTCTGTCCTAAATATGTTTTAAATTTTTTATAAACAAGGTTTCTCTATGTAGCCCTTGCCATCTTGGAACTCTCTATGCAGACCAGACTAATCTTGAACTCACAGAAATCCATCCACCTCTACCTCCCAAGTGCTGGGATTAAAAGTGTATGCCTATATGCCTGTTTCTACCTTGACTACTTTATTGTGCTTTCCTGCCTGGTCACAGGTATAAACATTGGAGAGTAGTAAAGGAAACTAGAAATCTAAAACGCAAGAGTATGTCTACTGCCCAAGCTTCACACGTCTGTATCAATTACAATGCCATTGGGAATGTGAGACAAGTTTTCTTCCTACACCAATACTGTAAATTCTTGTTAACTTTAGAATAAATAAATGTAGAAGAGAATCTTTGTAAGAGCTCAGGGGAATTCTTTAAGGAGAAAGGCAAATACTCTGAATGCTGCAGGACCAAGAGAGACTTCTGGAGTAACAGCCACAGTACCGTGTGTTCTACCGTTCTCCCCTGGGTACTTGGTCAATTAAGGCTTATCAAAAGAAAATCCAGAACTGCTCCTTATAGATCAGTTTTGAACAAATGTAAATTACTTTCATATCCTGACATAAGAGTTCTCAAGTCAGCATCTTTCTCTTGGGCTTAAAATTACTCCTGACAAAACCTAAAAAACGTAACATAAAAGTCTTCTGACATAGGATACTTACTTAATGGCCAAGCCTGTTTTCATACCCTAGCATCTAGCTATCTGCTAATCTATTCATGGTTAAAGAAAATGACTTGAAGTTCCTCATAAGGCCTCAGTGTATATCCTAACATGTTCACAAGATACAGCATACATGCCCTGGCCCTGTCTATCATTTCCTATACTTCAGGTGGCATGCCACTCACACACTATTACAGTGGCTGTCCATTCTATTACCCAAAATTCACCTGATTCTTGTTGTCAATGTTTTACAGATCAGAAACCGACCTACTCCCCCATTTTTGTTTTTAGCTAACTCCTATCTGTCAAGCTTTAAATGTCATTTCCTCAAAGAAATTCAGATTATATACTTTCCCTAAGCTTTAGTCTTTTTTGTGTAGCACATAACAACAATGAAATTATTTATGTACTTCTATTAAATTTCAATAGGGGGAAGAATTATATATCCCAGAACAATACCAGGTGGCCAGTAAATACTGATGGTGACTAGCCCATTCATCCCTCCTTCTCAATCTGTGTTATCCATACAAGTAGCCACTAGCCTCGTGCAGCTAGAATGGAGATGAGGTATAAATGTAAAATATAAACCAGATTTCAAAGACTTAGCTGGGGGGAGAGGGGGTAGACAAGAACCTACTTTATTAATGGTTTGTTCATTAAATATTGGTATATTTAGGATATATTTATTTTAACAAATATACATATGAAAGCTAATATATTTTAGTTTTTTAATGTAGCTAGCTAAAGTTGAAAACAACAAATACGACTGGCTTGCATGATAGTATTCACTGCCCTTCTTCTCATGCGCTTACTTCTTTGAATACAGTGTCTAGAGGAAATACCAGAGCAGCCACAAGAACTGGGTCCTGAAAGGTGTCCTCCACCATCATGCCCAGGGTGCTAGATCACTAATCTCTAATGGGATCGCTGTGTGCAATCTTCCAGAGGAATGTAATGAACAAATAATGACAATCAATCCTCATTTCTCTCCAAGCCATATGTTGCAGACAATTATAGCTAAGCCTTACTTAGAACTTTCTTAAAATGAAGTAAGAACTCAGGAGTGAGCAGAAAAAGAAAAGGATTGAGGAGCAGAAGAAAAAAGGCATAACTCATTTTGGAAGGAAACAAGATATGGTATAATCAAAATCCGGTCTGAGCCAGGAAAACAAATAAACAAACAACTTCCCATCAGCCACTAGGCTAAGAAAAATGTATCAGTTAAGGAGCTCCAAATGGACCTGGAAAAAACTGAGTTCTCAATAGGTTAGCTCTTCCTTCAGAAAATCTATTATTCCACCTCAGCTCAACACTACCCATCCCTTAAAAACTGCTTAAAATCCAGCCACATAGTCTACATTAACATAATGCTTTGGCTAATGATGCAGACATAAAAATTAACATTCAAGAATTTCAAAGTTGTGGTTGCTGTGGGAACCTTAATTCCAACTGTGGGGCACAGATGCAGACTCATGGACTACTCCCAACCCTGATCAAATTGGAGATGTATATTTACTCTGTGCAATGAGGCACAGCTACAGTTACTGAGACAACCCCATTTTGGCATGTCTAAGCTTTCATGCATTTAAAATCTCAACCTTACCACAGTATTGTTTGCTGCATTAAATTGCCTCCTCTACAAAGAAAAACGAGAGCAAAGAACTGATTGGTCAGACACCGAAATCACCCATCCTGTATGTGTTTTTTATGCATGATCTGATTTAAAAGGCAATCATGATATTTTGATTTTACTCTTAAAGGGCTGCCTATAAACTCTCACAAAAAAAAAAAAAAGGAAACAGGGTTTGGAACTCGGCTTGTAAATTCACCACAACATGTGTGCATACAAAACAATGGCAGAGCAAATTCCACATCTTTGGAACTACAAATGAGATAAATACAAAAGGAGATAATCCACAACACTAACTTCAACCATGATGCTTAATTTCTAAAAACTGCCCCTGGCACTAGCTCTCACCAGGTGCCTAATTCTATAACAGGTCAACATAAACACTTGAGTTATCACAGGGAAATAACAGGGGCAAGACTGATGGCCTTAAAAGCAAGAAATAGTCAATCTCAATCCTTATCCCCACCCTCAAGTCTCAGAATGATAGAAGACAATAACCACGAAATCTAACCAAAAACTGTCCACCTGCACACGGAAGACATACTCTTGTTGGAATTTCATCCAAAGCTTAATTTTGTAGAACTGACAAACGCACTCAGGTCATATGGTTAGCCAAGAACTCATTCAGCCCAAAGACTTGGCAAATAGAATAAAACAATACAGGAAAGGTAATATAACTAACAAAGGTAAAAGGTAAATAGGTGATCCCAAGGACCATATACATACAAATTCATTTTCCCCCCTAAAGCAGGAAGGAACTACCCAATCAAAATGACCATCAAAAACAGGCCCTGTTACTATGTAAGTCAGGTACAGAATTCCTCCATCTCATACTCTAAGAAATGTTAAGATCTTCAAATAAAATTCACCCACTACCTCAATATCCCAATCCTAACTGTCCTTCAGGTCCCTGAAAAGGAGTGCCAATAGTAACTATTTGAAATGGAGCAGAGAAGAAGCTATGGTTTGGGCTGCAAATACAAGGCATGATACTTTCAAAGACTTACCCTTTCACATTTTCACATTTTCGAGTATTATATTTAACTTATCTCTTTGGCTTCTCTGCTTGTGTAGAAGTGCAGAACGGTCCTGAGTGGTTTCCATGAGAATGTCCCCCATAGGCTCAAATATCTGAACACCTGGTCCTTAGTTGGTGGCACCATTTTGGGGAAGTCTAGAAAGTGCCTTAGGTGAAGAAGTATGTCACTGGGCATGGGCTCTGACATTCCAAAACCTTGTGGCATATGTGCATGTTCTTACACCCCAAACCCAACCCCAGTGTGTGTAATTCAAGATGTGAGCTCTCGGCAACCAGTTCCTATGGCCAATGCTGCTTGATACCATGTTTCCTACAGTGGCAGGCTCATGTTCCTCTAAAACCATATGGCAAAGAGACCCTTTTTTTTTTTTTTGGAAGTTGTCTCAGTCCTGATGTTTTTTAATCACAGTAACAGAAAAATCACTAACACACTTCCCTGGTCTCACCTGTACATTGTCTCCCTCCAACCTTGGTGGTCGAATGCTTGACAGGTGGATGGTCTTGTAGACTCCAGAATTCAGCTTCACAACAATGGCATCAGCGTTCAAAACCTGCATCACCTGTAAGTAAGAAGGCAGCAATGTGTAAATGGCTTCAACAGTCCTCGCCACACAGCAGAGAAGCAGGCCCACCAAGGCAGACACAAAAGGTGACATAAACAGTCATCTATAGTAGATCCATTGTTGCTGCCCTCCTAGCAACAATGTCAGAGGAAAAGCACATAATCCTAATCAAGTCCCAAAGACACTATAGTGAGCTCCAAGTAAGACAGAAGCTGTTCCATTCATAAAGATGATCAGTCTGTTTTTGTTTTCCCCCCTATGCTTAACTATAAGGCTAAAAGACTGGAAATCTGAGCCAGGTGTGATGGTTCATGACTAGAATCTAAGTCCTTAGGAGGCTGAGTTTGAGGCCAGTGAGGAGTATACTATAAACTCCAAAATGAGACATCCAGGGCTAGACAGGAAAACTGCTTAAATAAGAATAAAAACTTAAAACAAACAAACAAACACTAAGTCTGTACTGAAAATTTTCTTGATGTAACTTTAAAACTAAAAATCAAAATCCTACTCTAGAAGCAAGAGTTGGATTAGGAACGAGTACACCTCTCACTTTATGAGAAAGAATCCAAGTAAGATGCCCCAATAGGGAGCAGAAAAATCAAAGGCAAGTGAAGGACAGAGAACTCTCAGCTCAGGGGAAGGAGCTGCTTAGCTGTTAATCTCACAGGCAGAAACATTAAATTGCTAAAATAGTACCTCGGCTACCCTACAAGCCATCTTTTTAGAATGCTACTATGGACGTGTCTCGTTTTGGAAACCAAAAACCATTAACATCGCACCCCACTCTCAGCTGAAAATGATTAACTTTCAGTCTGGGATATAAGGATGTCTATTTGAAGGGCAAAAGCACAAACATTCCTCTGTGAAGGTTAGAACACCTCACCAGTGTGTACAGAGTAAAATGCCATTCACGCTGAGACAGTACCATATCACCGCTACAACCAGAACCTATAATACAGCCAGCAGTCAACAACTCACCCAGCTATCTCCAGACTCTGTTGTTTCAAGGCTGTTTGGGGATTTTTTTTTTTTCCTTCTTTCTTTGCAAGCATTACACGGTAGCTGCTGACTACAGAATATTGTCTCATCCACTCCATCAGCTCAGACTCTTCTACGCTTCAATCAGGCCCCCATCAGGAACCACCAGGTGGCTGAACTAGAGGGTCAGCTGCCACAAAGGGAGGGAAGACTGGCAAAATTTCTTTCCTCTTTTATGCATGAAACAAAAGCAGCTAGACACTGCATTGTCACTGGGAAGTGACTTATAAGAAGCCTATTTCTTGGAAGGCCTAAGATTCTTCAGCACAGAATATACTCATTACTTGCAGACTCAACCAAAAACAGCTATTTTCTACCTTTACAAAAAAACAGCCAATCACATACCAGGGAGGCAGGGAAGGTGGGTGGACTCTAAGGGACAATCTTAAGAACAAGCAAAAACAAATAACAAGTTAGAGAATACGCATGACAGGAGATGGCAGTAGCTAAGTACCATCACACAGAAAGAAGGAAAAAAGCCAGACAAAACCATCCACAGAAGGTGGGCTCTACCTATTGGATGGAAAGATCTGGGTTTGATCATTATGAGTAATGAAAGTCAAAGGAAGAAAAGGCCTGTGATCAGGATAATGAGGGGCTAACCAAGACATAGGATATTAATAATTATTTACCTACCGTACATTAAGAATGGCCTGCAACTGTGAAAGCAGCAAAAAACAGTGTCAAGTAACCATAGCTGTTTTCTGATATCCTATGACAGATCTGAGTCAAGAAAACTAAACCCTAAAATCCAGAAAGTCAGAGAAAGTTGAAGACCAGAGGGTGTGTGTGTGTGTGTGTGTGTGTGATCATCTCATGAAGTCAAACCAGAACTAAGTTAGGGCTGGTTATCAAAAAAAAAACAAAACAAAACAAAACAAAAAAAAAAAAAAAAAAAAAACCATGAAGTACTTAGATACGGCTATGAAGATATAACTAAAAATACAGATTCAGTTACAAGAACCAAAAGAGAAAACCTTATGTCTGTTACCATCTAGACATATTAATTAATGCCAAGAAAAATTACTCGTGACAACAGAATACATTTCCAAAGTTATCAAGAGTGTACAACAGGCCCAAACAGAAAAAGTCCAGCAACCTGGGTCTACTTCAAAATCCTTCATCTGTGTGAGAAGGAAGCCTGTGGCAGAGCACCTGAGGAATGTAGGCTCCATGATGTGTGCTATTCTGCTATTCAAACTGCAAACCAGAGAGAAGGAAAAAATTCCTCTAAGCTATACCAAACAACACAGCTACTATACCAGTTAATAACGTCTTCAAAAGGATGCCCAAAGGAAAATAAGATAATCTTCAGTCATCTCTGATGCACGCGTCTCACAGTATTTCTAAAATCTTACTCTTGAACAGATCTGTACTTACTCTCAAACTCAAATTAACTCTTACTGTCAGTTGCCAAAAACATATAGACCTTCCTTATATTAAGACATGAGAAATGTCTTGACAGTCCTGGCTTCCAAGCAGGGAAAGTATCACAGTGTCACACCTTTAGCCTGATTCCAGAATGCGAAGATTTAAGCATCCCCTGTGAGAAGGCTGGTGTTCATCACCCCTTATAACGTGTTAGTGACAGCAGCAAATGGATTCTTGAAGCTTAAATTTCAGGCCACAGCAGCAGACTCTCTGCTTGGCATATCCCTGATTAGCAACCTCCTCTTCAGAACTGCACACTCCTGCACTGCCAAGGATGCAAGGCTTAGCATTCGAAGGGAGAGCAGGAAGGGGGGGGTGGTTGGAGCTATGGCAGGGTTTTCTATTTCTCTGTACACTGTGTCATTACTGCCCAGAAACAAGCAATTCTTTACAGACACATGGAAGAAGCAATAAAACACTGGGTATAGACACACACTGTGCAATAAGATGCAGAGTGGATTCCTATCCAAAGCCTGCTCTTCAGCTCAGTTATAGACCACACTGGAACAGCTGTATTTCTCAGGAAGTTGTTCTTCAGGGTAACTGAAGTGTGCTCCCACGGCTCGCTTTCACTACAAGCTACAGACCTCTTACTAAGCCATCCTCATGCAGATGCACCAAGAGATCACCTAAGGCTCAGGAGCAGAAATCTATAAGGAACAAGTTACCAACCATCTGGACTCAAGATTGCATGCACTAAATCCAATTCCTTCTACATCGCTTGAAGTCGAGCTGTAACACACACACACAAAAAAAAAATGTCTTCATAATGGTAAGGTATAGGCTAAAAGCTGCCACAAGCCAGGAGAACTACAGAACTACGTCCAGGAAACAAACACTGATCCCTTTCTTTGGACCCCTGCTACACTGCCTATCAGCACAGCCCCCCCACAATGCTCACTGTGAAGCCAGGGGCCACTACTATTTGCCTTCTTAGAAGCCTGCACCATGTATCAGCTGACAAAGCCTTACAATGGCTTTCTGAGCTACAGATACCCTCCCAATAGCAAGCACCCCAGGCGCATCCAACAACAGCTCAAACTACCAAACTCAGTACCAGAAAGAAGCAAATCAAGTATCAACCAAACCAAGCAGGGCTTCTACAGGTACAACCAGAGCGTGCCCTTTAATGAGGCCACTAGAAATGAGACACAAACCTGATATCCTAACATCTGGCTGTTCCTCCTACACCCTAGCATTGTTTGCTATGTCTGTTCTCCCTAGTTCACCACAGAAGTACAAATGCAAACTTGCTTTAAAAAAAATTTTTTTTTTTTAATAATCACAATATCCTGGTATAAGCAAGCTAAGCACAATCATGGCATATGCTATCACAGACAACTAATAGGAAAGCGCACATCAGACAAAATTTCTATGGGCAACATCGCTGTTCCCAAAACTACCAAGGTCACAAGAAAAGCAAGGAGAGTTTCAGATGGTGGAGGAAGTAAAATAAGCAAATTAATGTTACTGAAAGAGAAAAAAGACATCAACAAATTGTAACAAATGCACCGCCCTCATGTAAAATACCAATGACATCAAGTGGCAATGAACAGTATAAAATGTGGATCTGGCATTGTCTGTTCTGAAACCACACTAAGAATCCTCCTAAACCTCTTCTCATTCACATCTACACACTCATGGAATCTTCCACAAGCTTTGCCTATGTGCAGTGCAATGGAGGCTAATGTTCTGGCCAAACCATCCCTACAACTTTCTTTCCTCATGCAGGCCTTTGATAAGGTCAGGCAAGTGACAATTTTTTTTCCCCCATTTCTCTGTTTGCTGCAGTCTTCCTATGACTGCATGAGAATACATTGGCCAGTTCAGATCATAACAAACATATTCAGTATCTTTGCTTAAAATTTTATCAAAGAGCCCTTCCATTCAGCATAAAACTAGAAACTAGGCAAGAAAAGCAAATAAAGGGCATAAAAACTAAAATAGAATAATAAAATTATATTGCTCATAAAGAATAAGAAGAAAACCCAAAGATTCCACAAATGTTAAACCAACAAATGTGTCTATACATTAGCAATAACATTTTAATTTCATCCCCAATAGCAAGCATCACTAAGAACAGTGTTCAGGGAATAACTACAGAAGTAAAAAAAAAACAAAAATAACTTATACAATGTTATTTTTATTTTATAATAAATTATAAAACAACGTTGAAGGAGCTGTAGAAATGGCTTAGCAGGCTAAGTGCTACCTGTACAAGTATGAAGACCTCAGATAAAATTGCCATCCCCACGTCACCCATGTAAAAAGCAAGTGTGTGTGGCAATCCATGCCTATAATCCCAGTCCTGAGAGACAGAAACAAGAAAATCCCAGGCGTTTGATGGCTAGCCATCTTACCTAACTGATGGCAATTCAGCTTTTCTGGCCATACATTCACCATACACACAGATTAAAAACTGTTAGACAACAAAGATAAATGGAAACACTTCCCATGATTATGGATTAGGAGATCTAATACTGCTGATATGTAAATATTATTTTAGTGCGGTTGTTTGTTGGTTTGAC